ATGTTAGCTAATGGTGAGTCAGGCTTTGACACTAAACCTTTTCCGGCGAAGTCGTCGCAAACGAGCAGAGTGTTTGAAGGATACTTTTTGAAGGGGTATTTTGAAAGTTTTGACAGAATGTAGTTTGTAAGTCGTTTCATATCGTAAACTCCTGAGTATTGACGTAAGTGGTGTTTGTCAATAATTCTTTCCATCTCTTCTGAAGTCTTTTGCATTCCTGACTGTATAAATTCAACGATGGCATAATATTTCCTCTTACGTCGAATGTAACGTTGAAGAAATTCAATGAGTTCGCTATCTGGAACTTTAACGACAGAGGCTTGAACTTTTGACATAAATGTTTTCGCTGTTGAGTCCATAGAGTCTGAAGTTGCTGATATAATGATTTGGTCATAATATGAATCTTGACCTAAACGCTCTGTTATGAGTATATGACGAATGAGGTTAAATGTCTTACCTGACCCCATCTTTCCACAATAGAAATAAACACCATTTGAACAGAACTCATAGTCCTTACTGAAAGGAAGAATAAGAGAAGAGTTAAGTTTGTCTGTAGTTTCATTCATGTCTTCATCTACGTCATGTATTAAATGCTTCATTTTATCTCCATTAAAAATGCAAGTCAGAAATATTCAGAACATAGCACCGAGTCTAACTGACAAGAGTATAAAGATATACTATGAACACGTTATGATGAAACCAACCAAAATTCAAGAAAGTCAGTATACTTATGAATATCCAAGACACTGGGTAGAGTATGTAGGAGGTGAGAAAGCTATTGAAATAAGACAAGTTAGAAGTATTCCAGCAGGAAGGACAATATTATTGAAGAACTTTAATGTTTTGAGATATAATGATGAGACAAAGAAGCAAGATAGTTTTCCTATTGCTGTGTATGTGAACCTAGACACAGGAGATGACATGAAAGTTTTTAACACAAAGCTTCAAACGGTAGTGAGAGAACAACTGACTGCGGAAGGACACCCATTACCTTCAGAAGTTACCATAGCGTATAATTTTGAAACAAATGCAATAGATTTTAAAGTCGTCTCTGCAAAGAAGTCAGGTTTTACATTTAATGAAGCAGATGTATATTCGAATGAAAACTTCAAAGCTATTGCATGGTTAGATAATGACGATTGCTTTAAGAAAATATTTAAATTCAGTGACTCAACGATGTCAATAGATGACCTTCGTGGAATGTTACCATCGACGTTTACAGTAGAAGGTTCAGCAGGATTGCTTACAAGATTGTCAATTGGTGGTATTTGGTCTCGTGAGAACATTGTTATAAAATCCAGTATAAGTGAATTTGCTGAAGAATCTATATTATGTCTTTCAAACTATATGTATTCGCCGCCGAAGCATTATAGTATAACAAACTTTGTCAGTAAGTTTAATATAAGACTTGTTGAACCTTCTTCAATGAAAGATGTTGTGCTACCCAAAGACGGAAAGGATGGACTCATTATTGAGATGATTTTAATAGCATATTAAATGAGCTTGTTTTTAAAGGTCATTCATGATGAAATAACTGTTGTAGAAGATGTTAGCAATTGTTCAGACATTTTGAAGCGTATAGATGAGATAAGAAAGAAGTTTATGAATGAGAATGTTTATGTTTCATTGACTTTTCCAGTAAAGAGAACTTTTATGAGATAATATTGAAGAGAGATGATTTTAATATGGTGTAAATGGTAGCTTGGGCAGCTTTAGGCGCAATGGGAACAAAAGCATTAGCATTTGGAGCAAAAGCACTTGGGGCTTATGACGCAGTAAATAAAATGAGTGGAGGAAGAGTTTCGAAGACATTAGATGCAAATAAAGGAAAGATTGGAGGCTGGGTTGCAAAGAAGTTAAGATTAAATAAAATAGGGCTCATAAATAAAGCATCCAATTTGGTTGCGACTGAGTCAGAAAATGCTTTAGGAAAGGACGATGAGTTTGCAAAACATGCAAAAGACTTTAATGACCAGATGAAAGGTGAAACAATGCATTTAAATAGAGTCGATGGAACTAAAGAAAATGTTTCTTCTCCACCAGTAGTTCTTCCGTATGGTCCCTATGGAATGTATGGAAACCCTTACGAAAGACCATTTGACCCATTGACTGGTGGAAGTAACTGGTATCATTACGGACGAAGAAGAAAGACAGTTAAGCTGGAGACAGACGTGAAGAAAGCAACTAAAAAGAAACCAAGGAAGAGAGTTATAAAGCAATGAATTCAACATGGTTAGAAAAGAGGTTAGAAAACGTGTTAGATCTAACATTCTAACATAAACATTATTTTTGTGCTATGTTTTCATACGTGTGAGGGTGGTGATATCATTAATTTTTATATAAATGACAGAACAAAAATATAACATTTCTACTCAGCAGGAATGAGACCCTTACTGACTATGTATTCGTTTAATGCTTGATGAAAACAATGGTACATATTATCGTATGGGTATACACAACGTCTGTTTCCATCGTCGTCGTATATGTAGAGCTCAAATCCAGTCCAACCTTCTTTTGTACAATATGTAGCTTTATTTAAGTATGCATTTATGTAGATAAGGCAATTTTCTTCATCGCTCCAGAAATAATTTTTCGTCATTGTTGAAATAGTTTTCGTTCCTCTGCGACCATAAGGAATGTATGCAATGAACTTTGCGTCATATGGGATTGTAATATATTCAGGGTTTCTTTCATCGTCAATGGGTCTGTCTTTGTTAAAATGCATGTTTCTCAGTTTTACTTGAGTTTTGAATAGTTCACGGAAACGTTCTGGGAAAGAGTCATAGTAAATGTAGTCGGACATGTCTTTGTAATGAAATAAAAAATTTAAAAAAATAAAAATAAGGTTATTTTTATTTAGTGAGGACGGTAGTGAAGTCGTTAGTGAAGTCGTTAGTGAAGTCGTTTATGTATCAGATGGTTTTGTAAATATTTAAGGTTAAGTTGGTGTTTGTGTTTGTGTTGTAAAATATACGTTACCGGTTTTGTAAAGTGTCAAACCGTTAACTTGGGTAAGGTGGAACGCAGTGCCGCCGTACCCAAGTTAGGGATACTAACTATTTTTCGTTCATTTATATTAATTTTGTATTCCCGATTTACATTCACTAGCAAATCAATGCATTTCACACTTTAAATGACAATTAAATTCTAAGACATTGCTAGAACTGCAATTTCCATAAAAAGTTTTAGTGTAAATTGCTTAAATAAATAATTATTTTCATTATTTTTCTCCAACAAGCTTGAAAATCAAACGAAAACTTTACAAAATACTTATTTACTCATTTGTAAATATAAATTTCTAACAATTTTTATCCTGAATTTAACATAATACTGTATTTCTAAAATTTGCACTAGTTCATTCCTAATTGATGCTCGGATTTCGGTATTCCATATGTGGTATTACAAAAACAAAAATTTTTGTTGTCAATCAATCTCATTGAAATTATTGGTTTTCATATAGAATGCCTATATATCCAAAACAGGATAACAATTTCATTCACTAGGTGATTAAGTCGTTTTTACAATTATTTTATATCCGATTCTTTTTCAATAGAATTCCTATCGTCAAATTATTTTTAAAAACAAATGTTATTACAAACCTGATATTGATTTTATTTTTCTAATATTTAATAATCTATTTGAAAAGTTCACAAAAGTTAATGGTATCATTTGGTAATCAAATTCCTGATAAAGTGATAAAATATAAATGATATGCTAAAAATATTTTTTTGATTTGTCCGGTGCAACTATTACGCAAAATCTCGTAATGCTTTCAATTTTATTCCATATCAATCTATCCTCATATCTCAAATTGTCTTTTATAATTTTGTTCTTTTTTTGCAAAAATGGAAATTGAGAGGTTAAGAATTCAATTTAATAAGGTATTAGCTATTCGTTCTTATTTGTTTTTAAATTATAAGACATCATCATTTTTGCTAATTATTTTTAATGATAAAAGTTATTCATTTCCCACAATTTCCCAAATTATCGCATATTTATTGTTTTGTTCATTTCGTTTATGCTACAATATACATATCTTGTTTAAGTCATTTTCATGATAAAATCACAAAATTTCCCATAAAAGAATTGAACCTTTCAACAACCTAGAAAAGTTATGTATTTATAACATATATGCATAATCCGATTTAACCTTCTATTCATGTTGCTTATACTCCCACATATTTATCATGAGAGATTTTTCAAACACTTTCAAATCAATGTTTCACTAAGTTTTTGAAGTATAGATCTTCTCATTGTTTCAGAATCTTTTATAGATTTTTTTATTCATTGAGAAATTTTGCAAATTACCTCAGACTTTTCAGAGGATTGAGTGGCAACTCAATCCTCTGAAATAGTCTGTGGTAATTTTTAGTCTCTACACTATTTCAATATAAGCTCCATTTTTAAACAGTTTTTAAAAATCGAGCATTGAAAAGTGTGATGAGACTTTCTCATTATCAAAATCGTTTTAAAAAAAATGAAATTTTGTCTTGACTTTGATCAATATCAAGTAGCAAGTGCTTTTCAAATGCCTTAATTGTATTATTATCAATCTAAAATATTAATAATGATCGTAATTTGAGAGTTTTATATTCGAATCGTAAATTAGTTGATTGTATTCCATTATTTTCATAGTTGTTAATTTCAATTAATTAGATTATTTCTGAAAACAATAGAATTCATAAACATGTTTAAAATATAGCTTACCTTAAAGAACATTTAAATACCTGCTAAGAATTGTAAGCTTATTTTCGATATTTTTTAGAATTTCTAAAAAAATATGGTCAGAATTAAGGTAATTGTAAACAGTGAATGCCTGAAATGGCTCAGAATTGTCGATAGCAATATTTTAAAAATGTCTTTTGGCTCCTAAAGCACCTTTGATTGATAAGATTTTAGAAACCATTTTCAGATTTTATTTTTAGTGTCTCCCCCTAAAATTTGTGTAAATTGATAAAAACAGAAGATATAAAATATACGCTTTCTTTCAATAAAAAATTATGGAAGCTCCACCGAAGAAAGTCGTTGAAGCTCCCCATCGATCCAAGAGTGAGATACTTAGATCAGTACGTCAGATGCTAGAGAATGATTCTGATCAGATGGATAACTTTCAAAATCTTGTGGCCCAGCCAATCTTAGAATTTCTAAGAGTCCACGAAGATCAGTACAAAGACTGGCCAGGTGTGTGGAACCTGTTTACAGGCTTTCCTTCGTATTTTAAATTCTTAAAACAAATCGCACGCGAATTTTCAGAAAATTGTCGTGATGCAAATATTACAGGTCCATTTACTTCATGGGTTCAAACTATACCACGTATAATATCATGTTATCTTGGATTCTTTCATGATTACCATATTAATAATGAATTGTTCAATCAAATTCGCCAATCTTTCGAAGATTTTAATTCCGTTTGTTTGAATGGAGAGAAGGAGTTTGGTATGCTTTGTAAGGATTATTTTAAAGAACTACTTAATTTTATACCCAAATTGCTCAAAGAGCTTCAGCCAATGAGATTTGTAATAGCTCCTACAGCAAATGATTTCTCACAACTTGAAAATGTTGTTGATCAACTTCAATCTGCGATTCAGAAGTCAAATGCTTCATTAAATGATGATGTACCTCAAAAATACGACGGATACTTGTTCATGAAGATCAAGGCACATGATTTCTTCGGAACTGTTTCAGAGGCATTCAAACCAGATACAGGAGACCGTTACAAAGCTCATATTATTTCAAAAGTTTCAAATAGATCGCAATTATATACAGATCAGATTAAAATTATGCTTGAAGCCACTCGTAAATCGCCAAACATCAACATTCTTAAGGTAGTTAAGATGATGGAAGACGAATTATTTTATTATGTAATATTTCCTTTCACAGAAGAAATGGAATTATCAGCAATTCTTCAAAGAGGTGGTAAACTTCCAGAAGAAGCAGCTAGACCAATCTTCAGGCAGCTAATGCACGCGATACAACATTTACATTCGCTTGGCATTGTTCACGGCCATATAACCCCTCAAAACATAATATTATATAACGGAAAGATTAAACTCTACGACTTCTCTTATTGTCATTTCGCTAAAAGAGGAGAGAAAAAAGGACAAATTTTGAATTCTACGGCTTATGCATGCCCAGATTCATTAAAAGGTCGTGTATTTGATGGAACTGCTGCTGATATCTGGTCTGCTGGCGTAATTCTCTTTGAATTATTAACAGGAAAACCATTATTTAATGCAAAAAATTCGGACGTTCTTAAAAACAAAGTTCTGAGATGTACGATCGTATATCCAAAAGAATTCTCGCCGTCCATCATTCCTTTACTTCGTGGAATCTTAAATCCATTGCCACAAGAAAGATTAACAATAGAACAGATTCTTTCTCACGCTTGGATGAAGAAGATCCATGAAGTGACAATGAAAAACTTACTTGCTGCTACCCCGCCTGTTTCTCCAACTGTTTCTCCACTTGCAACTAGACCCGGATCGCCATTTGGCAAAAAATAGTTTATTTTATAGATTTTTTGTTATTATTGTGTTTATAGATATAAATATTTCATGTTATTTAAATTTATACCTCGAAATTTTGTTGCAATGCAATCAAAACTTTGAATATCGAAGCTATGACTTCCACGCTGTAACAATAATCGAGTTTCATTGTTTTACAGATAATAATAAGAAATCGAATAAATCGATCGTTGGAGAAAAAAAAGCAATCGAAAATTTCAAGGTTTTTCATCGCCAATTGTTGATTTTGGTGAAGAAATATGCATAAATACTATTGTATATTGAGAGTTCGAGTAGATATTCTATTAATCATCCATACCGGTAAATTTTGCATTCAAACTTGGAGTTCAGACTTTCGGTTAATAAAAAAGTATGTGTGACCAGTTGTCAGCCAGAATATTTTATCAATTTAGTCGAATGTCACATATCAAATTGATTGCAATTAATTTACTGGCTTTTAGGAGAGAAATCCACTAATTATAAAAAATTATACAAAGGATTAATAAAATTCAAAAGTTAAAAGCTAAATTAATGAATTGTCGGAATGAATCCATTACGGCAAAATTTCCCAACTTTAGAAAAGGAATAGGAACCTCCAAATCAATGATTCTATATCAGTGCTTTGTCGGTTCCTATTCCTAATCAAAGGTTCGAAAACTTTGGTGCAATCGATGCTGAAAAATATATAGTCTATCTATATATCACCCAACCTCGAATTCTAACTCTAAGTCCTGCGATTTTCCATATTGCGTCATCAAACTTTTCTATCCATTAAATAAAGAAAGATTAATTTGATAGAATATGTGACACGATAACACAAGCAGCATTTGATAAGCATAAGTTTTATGAAATGCTCCAAATATTGTTTCATAATGCATCACAACTAAAATCATGAAATAAAAATTTTAAAATTGTCACTTTTTTTAAAAAAAAGTGTAATTGTGTTGGAATTACCCTCATATCAATAGTTGATTTCGTATTGTTGATTTCGGGAATAGTTTTTTGGAGTGTTGGATCAGGTATGGAATATTATGAACAGATTCCTTTTTTAATTTCAATTCCACTTTATCCAGACCCTTCTTCTCCATATGATAAATTATATGGATTACCACATGACATGATACCGGTTCAAACGAATTCAACTAATCTAACATTTTCTACGACTTTTTTGTCCGGCTACAGCTCGAACGTTGATTTATATCTTTTCCATAATTTTTGGGGATACAACTTTGAACTGCAAGCTACAGACTCTACAGGAAGAATCGTTTTAGACACAGATTTTAGTTTAAATCAAAACCTCTCAAATCCGCAAAAATCAAACATTTCTCGATCATTACTTCTTAACAATCCCATTAAAATATACGGGAAAGACATTGTTGAGATCTTTTGTCCATATGAGACACAAATTACAGACAAACTTGGTCTCAATTCCACATCACAGCTCATCTTTGCCAATATAAATCCAAATGTGTCTTCGTTACATCTTGGAAGTTACAATTTCAAGACATTAAGCAACGATTTGAGTTTTACGTTCACAAACTTTACGGCATATCCATACGATTACGTTTCTATACCACAAGCATATATTACAGGCTATCGTGAAACAAATAAGAAGAATTTCCTCATCACAGGCCCTACATTATTTGTAATATTTGTAATACTATTTTTCGTTACGATATTCCTGGCTTATGTTTCTTATGAATAATATTAATAACAATTTTGTTTGTTTTCTTTTGTTTTTTTATTCAATTTCCAAAATCAATTCAATTTCGGATGTTTTAGTAATAGAAGAATGTATGATTACACTTACTAATGAGTATCTCATTGAGTTACAGTGTTATTTGATGCAATGAAAAATTTATATTTTTTCATCAACCCAACCAAGCACTGTTTTACTATTAGAGTCAACTTGATATCATTTGGTTCAGTTTGCAGGCTTCTATTTGAAGAAATTCAATTTGAATTTTTTGGATTCTAGAATTCTTATAAATGTATACTATCGAATTTATTGTTTGTAAATTTTTTGTTTAATGCAGATTAAATAAAAATCATTTTATTAATTTTTGAACCTAAATAAAGTTGTATTTTAATAATGTGCATGTTTCATCATTTTATATACCTAGAAATTTGATCAACTTTAGTTGCATGTGGTGAATTTAAGGAATAAATTCTCTGAAATATATGTTCATTTGATATTATTGGTATCAGCAATTAACATCAGTCAAATTGCATGGAAAGTTGATTTATTTGATATTTCTATAAGGATTATGAAATGATGGCAAGGGAATTTTATTTTCATAATGAGTCATGAAATTATTTTTGATCAAATCTAGTAATTAAGTGTGGGATTGATTTTACTTGAGTGAGATATGATCAATGCGCTAAAAAATAATTCAGAACAAAAATATTATTAAGCAAGATTGATAAAATAGTTTATCATTTTATTACATATAAATAAAAATTACATAAACATAAAGTTGAACTCTATTATACATTGCCAAGCATCAAAGTCGAAGTGATTGAGTCAAATCTTCTTTTATGAGCTTGGTAAGCTTTGTAAGAAACGAAAATAATGATACCAGACAGAACAGCAACAACAAGAACTGTACCAATAATAATCCAATTACGTTGTTTTGTTGTAATTCCAGATTTATTATCTGGTTCAACAGAAGGACAAGTTCCAGACTTGTCAATTGTTACATTCAAGCCAAAGAAGGTCGTTCTGTTATAACTAGATGGTACAAAAATGGTCACATTTGATTCAAAAAGTGACATATTTTTATCATTAATTTGATCGGCGCAAAAATAGAATTTTTTCAGACTTTGGCATCCGCTAAATGCTGTCTGATCTATTTTAGAAACACTTCCTATAATGACCATTTCTTGGAGAGAAGTACATCCCATGAAAGCTTTTTCTTCAATGGAATCTAAGTCCCCTAAAATGACGCATTTTTGTAAATTTTTACAATTTTCAAAAACACTTGAAGGAATATGAGTTACTTTTGCAGGAAGTTGTATTGATGTTATTAATGTTCCTTTGAATGCTGATGCTCCGATGAAATATACAGCTTCTGAAATGGAAATTTGTGATAATTTAGAACATTCCTCGAAAGCTCCGTTACCTATGTAGCCTGTAGTAGGTGCAAGTGATATAGATGATATCTGTGTGTAAGATAATGCATAATCGTAGATTCTTATAAGTTCATTTGATAATGAAATTGAATTCAACGATTTGCAATTGTAGAAAGTGTATGGAAGTAATCTTTTTACATTATCTAGTTGAATTGACTCTAATGAAGTGCAATTTGCAAAGCAGCATTCACCAACAAAAGCCAATAAATTTGATAAAGTTATTTTTTTGAGATGAGAGCAATTTGCAAACGCATAAAGCTGTATTCTTTCAACTTTTTCGAGTGATATTGTTTTAATGTTAGAATTCGTAAAAGTATACATTTCAATTTTTGAAACTTGCAGATTTAGTGATTTAATTGAAGTATTTGCAAATGCAGATTGTTTTATTTCAGGCGAATTGTGTGGTAATTCTATGAAAATCAAATTTGAGCATCCTTCAAATGCAGATTCACCAATTGTAGCAATTGGTGCTGTAATTGAAACATTTTTGATATTACTTAGGTATTGAAATGCGTTATCTGGTATTTCTGTATATTTTCCTTCAATGATAACTGTGACAGCAATTTGATTTGGATCTGCTTCATCAATTTGTTGTCTTGAAAATGTAAAGTCCTCTCCACCTATTAGCAACTGATCACCATTTAAGGAAACAGAGGAAATAGAGTGGATAGAAAGTAAAGCAAACATCAATATGATAAATTGAGAAGCTTACCGGAGATACAAACAGAATTGCTAAAATATTTTCTTTTTCGATCAGTATTCTAATGAATCAAAAATATGACTCCAATTCAAAATGAATTTCCTCATTACGACACAAAATATACAAATTCTTCTATAAATTTAAATTAAATATTGTGTTTATTCTATTTTATGTGATAAAAGTGGAATATCATTGATTTTCAAATTTATGGAATTTCAAAATGCTTTTTATGACATAATATTGTATTAAAATATTAGAAATAAATTAGTTATTGATAAATTTATTATTTTGATTATGGAATATCTCAAAGAAAATGAGAAAATCTACAATCTTGGATTGTTTGAGTATAAATAAGTGCCTTATCATCTGTTCTAGCAATATTTGCTAATAAAAGTGATTTTTGTTTTTCAAAGTTTCCAATGATTTGACAAAAATTTTGGCCTTTGGATGGATCAAGGAGCATATAATGCTCTTTTAGAATTCCTTCAAAACGCTACAGCACAACACCAAGAACAACAAAATGCCGCTTTAGAAGTTTTTAACCAATTTATTAATGTAGAAACAATTCCTTACATCTTTGAAGCACTTAAACAATCATCTTCAACTCCAATTCGTAGTTTCTGCATTATATTACTCAGAAAGATACGTATTTCATGCCAAGAATCATTCGATGATGGAATTTATGAAATGATTGTTCAAAATTTAATAGAAAATATACTCAAAGAACAGCAATATACCATTCGCGCAAACATGGTAGAAGAATTAGCCGAATATCACTATATAAATACTGAGTTAATCACGAATTTTGCTCAAAATTTGTTTGAAAATCAAAATCTTATATCGACTGGTCTATATTTCATCTTAAAATTCATCGATTTTGATGATGAGTATGGTGATTTCATCAATCAAATGCTTCCTTTATTACAAAATCAATTTGAATCGAATGATGAACAGACAAGAACGCTTTCCTTTAAGATTTTCGAGAATGCTATATTCAGAGGCATCAAGTACATCGATATTTTGAATGAATGCGAATGGATTCCTGAATTAATTTTTAATCATTTGCAAAGAGTTTGTACATCCAATGCATCATTCGATGAAGCCAAAGCAGTCATTGATCTCATCGAACAGGCACTCGCTAGCGAGTTTTATTCAGGTTTTGATGAAAATCAACTAGAAATTTACACAGTTCTTGCAACCGGATTAGCAAATCAACAATTATCAGTTGATATTCGTCTATATATTATACAAGTTATCGATGATTTGTTCGAATTTCAAGTAGAAGAATCATTTTCAGAATCATTCCAGATTTTTATTGATTTAGCAGCAAACGTATATCAAGAATTGCCTGGATCTGAAGATTACAGGATTCCTCTTGATCTGTTAGTCAATTCTAAGTTTTATGAAATTTATAATAGGTCATTTATGAGTATTATTGAGATTCTTCAGCCATTTATCGAATCAGAAGATGAAGGAAAGATCGTTGTCAGCTTGAATATGTTTACAGATCTCTTTGCTTTGTTAGGAAAAGGGTATCTTCCTAATGCAGCATCAAATATCAATGATTTGATCGAACCAATGACAAAATATTGCCTCTACTATCTATCTATTGATAACGCTAATATAGTTAGCGCTGCTGCTCAATTTTCTCAGGAATTATTTTCGGCATTACCGAACGAAATGCAAAATAGCCTCACAGAACTTTGCACCTCGCTTGCTCAGAACATTAATTTCATGCCAAACATCAATGCTTTGGCAAATATTTTGATGGCCTCATCAGTTCCTCCAGAAAACCACTTGGAAATACTCGATGAGCTCTTATCCTCGCTTTCTAATACCGATTCACCTATATTTGCTGACTCATTGCTTCAAGCAATTGGATGTCTCATTGAAATTATGCCTCATGGCTATGATGAGCAGCTTTCTCAGCTTATTCCAGCTTTGAATACATTTATAGGAACAGGAGATAAGAATTTAGTCGCTCCTGCCTTCGAATGTTTTTCATCTTTAGTTGTAGCTTGCCCGAATCTGATTGTTAACCATGTAGAAGAGCTCGTTACAACAATTGTACAGCTGAACAAAGATTTGCATAACGCTATCTTTGATTCTGCTTTTTCATTATTAATAACTTTGGCTGGATACCTTCCAGATTCGATCCTTCCTCTCCTTGAACATGTTGATCAGTTCATTTATGACACAATTGTCAGACTCGACAGCATGAAACCCCATAAAGAAAAGCAAATTGAAGAAGAAGAGGAAGAATTCAACGAAGAAGAAAGCCAAAACGATGAAGAAGAGGAGAAAGATGAAGAAAGTGTCTTCGACATGAACGCTAAAACAGAATCTTTCGCAATCAGAGCGTTAGGAGAGTTAATGGTCTCATTTCCATCTCAATTACAGAACAGAATGCCATTTTTACTGACCATGATCAAAGAATTGAATTCAAGCTGCATGCCACAAGTCGTAGAAGCAGCTGTTCAAGCAGCAATTCCGCTTACAATGGCGATGATCAAAATTGGAAAGTCCGCTGATGATGTTTTAACAGCTGTATTGATGTCAACGCCTGTTGCTAATACAGTTAGTATATCAGCGGCCATTTGGACTGTCGTTGGAAGCGTTTTGGAGCAATTAGATCAAAATGGAATTGTTTCATCCATAGGATTGATCTCAGCTTTTGCTGCCGAAGCTGTTGGATGCGTAGAAGACAAGAGGCATCCATTCCATCCTGTTCTTCAGCCTCCAGTTCTCAGAGCCATCCAAATTTACTGCGAAAGAGGCGGAGTTGAAGCAAGCGAAGACATTTTATCAATAATTCAGTATATCATCGATACAATACAGAGTTCTAAGGAAGAAGAGGAAGAAATTAATTTTTCATTGATGGTCCTTTCATCACCTGCGATCGCTGCATGCGCTGTTGCATTGCAGAATGAAGAGATGCTTGAAATAGCTATAAATTATGCCTTAACTGTCTTGCAACAAAACGAATCCCAAAAATTAATCAGCTCTGCCATCGAATGTCTCATAATTATCACAAAGCATCATCCACAAATGATCGCAGAAAACGCTACTGCTGTCGCTGCCCAGATAGCTCCTTACTTAAGTAGTACAACTGAATGCGGAATTTCTGCAGTTTCATTAATTTTCGCTTTTAACCTGTTTGCGAACAAAATATTGACAGACAAAGAAGCAGAGAATTGTTTGTCAATGTTTGGTTGCAAAGGAGATTCAAAATATCTCCCTTTGGCCGCAATGTTTGTCTTCAAATGCGCTACAACAAATCCAACCGTTTTTTCAAATTGGAGTTTACAAATTTCTTGCGCTTTGTTGTCGGCAAACGATGCGATCAGAAGAGATGCATCTGAGGATATCATACAGAACTGCATCCAAATTGTAGGTCAGGATATGCAACAAAACGGAGATTCTCATGTAAGAGAAATTCTCGGATTCAATCAAAGATTGTTTAATAATTTAGCTACTTATTTCCAATAGAGTAATAAAGATTTAATACTATTTGTTTATTTTTATCATTCTTAGAGATATCATCTTAATGCTGTTATTGATGTAAATTATAATCTTTGTAAGTTAAAGCTCTTGATTAATTTGAGTAATTAAATCTATTCGAAGTGATTTATAATCAATTCGAGTTTAGATATAATAGAAAATTGAAAACGATTAAGAATTGAATCATAAAAGTAATAAAAAAATTACTGTATTTACTGATTTATTCCATTTCTTTGTGAAAAATTTAACGTCTCGTGTCGAATTGTGGTATATTGAAGAACGAAATTTCAAATTGCTTTAATTTGGGCAAAGATCCAATAGTTATCAATAGTAGAGCAGTTCTACATCAATATTTCGATACTTTGATTTTCCAAAATTTTTTCAAAAATCGAAATACGACATGAAAAATAATAATTTTGATAATATAAAATTTGATTTTGAAATTTTTTTGGAATGTAAGGTTGCAAAATTCAATGATTATCATTGAGAAAACATAATTCAGTAAAAGTAAATGCTACAAATGAATATATTTTATAACTAAATTTCAGTTCACAAGATAATTCCTTAAAAACACACTTTTTGCATAATGATTAATTTTTTTTTAAATATCAGATACGATAACATATGATTGCGAACCGCAGGTTATAATTACCATATTAATGCACTTCTAATTCCTTATATCCGAACCCTTAATATTAGGATTGATTTTTATTGCCAGTTTTGATCGAAGGATTCCTATACATCATCGAAGCAAGATTGAATGGTCTTTGAGTTGATCATAGGATTTGATTATACATCAAAAATCAAGCCAATTATAGCAGTGATGCTAATCAAAAAAGAGTAATTTCCTTTTTATCAAATATGAGCGAAAACGAACACAATGTTTAAATATCAGGTAGGATGCGCATATAAAATGATACTTATTACTTTTAATGTACTTGATATGCGAAAATCATGCAATTTCATTTCTGATAAAAAATAATTCGGAAGAGAATCTCGAGTTTAAAATCGATTCTTACATACCAAGGCATGTAGTTAACTAATTTAGTTACAGAAGCCATCATTCGTTTTTTCCTAGAATATTTATCTCAAAAATTATTTTGATCGAACATAATCATTACTTACTATATATTTCAATATTAACCAAAAATGGCCAATTTTTTTTGAAAGGGGATCTTTTCGGATTCAATTTTATTATCCTTTACTATAATGATATATTTTATAATATTATAGAATTCTGAGAGATTTATATTTTCTCCGCTAACGCTTCTTTCCAAAGAAAAAACGATGAAAATCTCGATCACAATAATTGAAAGCGGAAACGGTTATTTGTTAACAATTAAGAAAACAATTTCTTCAAAGAATAAAATTTAACAGATAGAGCATATAAAACTGTAATATTTTCTGATAACAACGATGAAGGAATTATTTGAATAAATGTAAATCTCAGTTCATTTTTAGACAACATGTCTCACGAGAGAATGACCCCAGCAACAGCATGCATCCATGCTAATCCACAGAAGGATCAGTTTGGAGCAGCCATCCCACCAATCTACCAAACATCAACATTCGTTTTCGATAACTGCCAACAGGGTGGAAACAGATTCGCTGGTCAGGAATCCGGCTACATCTACACACGTCTCGGCAACCCAACAGTTTCAAACCTCGAAGGCAAGATCGCCTTCCTCGAGAAAACAGAAGCATGCGTTGCCACATCTTCTGGCATGGGTGCCATTGCTGCTACAGTTTTGACAATCCTCAAGGCCGGAGATCACTTAATCTCCGATGAGTGCCTTTATGGCTGCACACATGCTCTCTTTGAGCACGCATTGACAAAGTTCGGCATCCAGGTCGACTTCATCAACACAGCCATCCCAGGCGAGGTCAAGAAGCACATGAAGCCAAACACAAAGATTGTCTATTTCGAGACACCAGCCAACCCAACACTCAAGATCATCGACATGGAGCGCGTCTGCAAGGACGCCCACAGCCAGGAGGGCGTCTTAGTTATCGCCGATAACACATTCTGCTCACCAATGATCACAAACCCAGTCGACTTTGGCGTCGATGTTGTTGTCCACTCTGCAACAAAGTACATCAACGGCCACACAGATGTCGTCGCTGGCCTTATCTGTGGCAAGGCTGACCTCCTTCAACAGATTCGTATGGTTGGTATCAAGGATATCACAGGATCTGTTATCAGCCCACACGACGCTTGGCTCATCACACGTGGCCTCTCAACACTCAACATCAGAATGAAGGCTGAGAGCGAGAACGCCATGAAGGTCGCTGAGTACCTCAAATCTCACCCAGCCGTTGAGAAGGTTTACTACCCAGGCTTCGAGGACCACGAGGGCCACGATATCGCTAAGAAGCAGATGAGAATGTACGGTTCAATGATCACATTCATCCTCAAGTCCGGCTTCGAAGGCGCTAAGAAGCTCCTCGACAACCTCAAGCTTATCACACTTGCAGTTTCCCTTGGTGGCTGCGAGTCCCTCATCCAGCACCCAGCTTCAATGACTCACGCTGTCGTTCCAAAGGAGGAGCGTGAGGCCGCTGGTATTACAGATGGCATGATCCGCCTTTCTGTCGGTATTGAAGATGCCGACGAACTCATCGCTGATTTCAAACAGGGCCTTGACGCTCTTTTATAAACTCTACTTAGTTTCTTGACTTTAATTAATTTTAGAAATTTTTAAATTTTCTCTTTTTTCACCCTTTATTTTCCCTATAATGCTCAAAAATCTTCTAATAATTCATTACCATTGCTAAACAAGCACGAACTTGGTCAAAAGTGACAAATGAACACAAGCTCTACTGAAGATAATTTCCAAGGATTGATTAACCAACTTGATGCAGTGTACGATAAAATGTCAGGTGCTAAAAGGAATCAAATCGTACAAGAACATGAAGCTTTAATTAAATTCACTAACGATTTTCAAAAAAATCAAACAAAATTTATAGGTGATTTCTTAGATATCGAATCGCCAATCCCTGAAAAAACTACTAAAATTGCTACTCCTGATACTATACAAGCGGCAAATCAACAATTTGATCAATTTTTGCAATTCAAACAGAAAAAGGAAATCCAGATTGATATATCAGCTCAAAAAGTAACTGATTTCAACAAAGAAATGTGCAATTCTATTAATGCATTTATGAGTACTTCAACATCAAATAATTAATTTGATACTACGACGATGAAAATACAAGAAGATTAATATTACAAGTTGTAATTATTTTTTCGCTATATTTATATCTATTTTCTTATGACTATTTTCGATCATATTCTCTTGATGTTATTTCAGTTAACAGATTTCTGAGAATAACTTATTCCATTATGAGTCTTTGTATTTTTTTTACATAATATACAATCAATTTTATTTTCGTTCATAATATTCGATTTCAATTTAAAAATTGATTCCAAATCATGTTGATTTAATTGTATTTTCTGATGCACACGGATTAATTGTTATGCTAATTTTTTTTCTTTTTCAATATAGAACAATTTTTTAAAATTTATTTTTATTTTTATATAAATATGGAGAGAGGGTCAAAGTTGCTATTTGTCACTTTTCCACAAGAATATAATGGGGAAAAAGTTATCATATAGTTGATCTCATTCACTGAGGTGAGAGATGCATGTAGTGTAATGGGATAAACAGTTGGATTGCTGCTCTAAGTCCTAGGTTCGAGACACATTGGCTTCATTTTTCTCTTTTTTATTGACGTAAACTATTCAATTTTTGTGTTCTCCATTCAAATTTCAGAATTTTTTTTGCAGATTTCACGCTACATTCGAAGTTACCTTTTGTAACAACCACCACTGCCTACGAAAGACGAAAGTGTGTCACGATTTCACCCGGAAATCCGACGGTTGTTTAAGAGTATGCACTTTTGTCACCTACTCTATAAATATGTATGGAAAATCAATTCAACGACTTAAAATAGTTTCTATATTTGGCATAGGTTGCCGATAAAATCGAAAAGTCTGTTTATGTAAGAAATTGTGATCATGATTTCCTTGAAATTGACATCAGGTTTTTCAATATTGAAATATTTCATAAAGTGGTTCAATAATCTTATTGGAAAATGATATGTTTGGATTTGATTTTTTCATATTGGATATAAAATATATTTGTAAACGATGGACTTGACTTTCTTAAACTGCAACGTCATCAACCGCTAAATAGATCGTTGAATTAAAACTACTTTTCAGAAAATAAATTGAATTTTTTGAATGGTTGGCAGTTTTCAATAAAAATCCTTGATAATAATTAAGGGTTTCGTTTTGCGAAAAAACGTACAATACGCAATTTCGCTAAAAAACATTTAGCTAGCAATTTCGACCTTTGACTCCACTCAAGACGTCACTTTTTTAATTTTGCGGTATCATATTTTTGGAAAATCTTTATGAATATTATATAAAAAGTCTCTTTAATATCTATATTTCATATTTTTATCGATTTTTAAAGTTTTTGCGAAAAGTATTCAATTATTTTTGCTATTTGGTCGGGTAAATGTCAGATTTGCGACATTTTCTGATATGATATTCAGATTCTACGTTGATAATAATGCTTATAGAACCCTCTTGCTATTGTGTCAAAATTGCGAAACCGATAGCAAAAATATCTCGCAATATCAAAATTGAGATATTGAGTGAATTATGCATTATAGAGATTAAAAATCTGATTTGTGAAAACATCTCATCAGTTTCTAGCTAATTCAAAAATCTTTACTATCTTATTCGATTAAAATGAAAAGGGAATAGTTTCATTATGCTTTAAATGACAGCCTTATAATCTAATCATAGTTTTCGCTCAATATGCAGCATTTTTTTTTCGAAATCTATGGTCAATATCCTAAATACTGATTGCTTTGCATTCATATCTCTTACATTTTCTATACCCACATCACTATTCATTGCTATTCCAGAGATGTACGCTCAAAAACCACGTGCAATCAAACGATTTGCAGAGAGAATACATGCTCTTCAAACTAGATATTCTCCTGACGATGTTGTGTCATTGCAAATCTTTGTTCACACAGTACAAGAAGAATCTCCAGATGATCTCATTGCATTTGAAGTCTCAGACAATAATATGTGTTTCTATTACGCGCCTTTTGAAGGCAAAGCTTATGCGCATAGTATCAAGACATTTCATATAGACAGCACCTATAAATTGTTGCGATCAAACATTCCATTGTATGCATTTACTGGCAAAATCAAAGATTTTCACATTTTCCCTTTTTTATATTTCTTTTGTCAACCAGACACTTATCAAAACATTCAAGTTTGCGTGTGCGCCTATCTCAGATGGGTAACAATTGAGCCAGAATACATTAGCATGGACTGTGCTCCACAGATAGCTCAAGCAATAGAAGAAAGCATTCCACAAGCTCAAATACTTTGGTGCGGAGTACATGTTCTTCGTGCAATTCTTCGCAAATCAAATAAGTTTTCTTCTCAAGAAAAATTTGAACAATTCTATAATTTGATGAAGGATTTAGTCTTCAAATTAGATGCAGAACATGAGGAAGAAGCAAATGCTGCCTATGATCAAGTTCTGGAGTTGCTCGACACAGATCCAACAGCATCTCAATACTTTAACAGACAATGGCGTTACAACATATCAAGATGGATTGCTCGTGACAGGCGTGAAGGCGACGCAACTAACAATATTGCCGAAGCTCATTTTAGAACACTCAAACATGACTATTTTCCTGATCGAAAAAATCTCAGAATTGATGATGTTATTATAGAAATTTATACAAAAGTGATACCATCTTTCGTTATCAAACTCAAAATTGATCAAAATCCAGCAGATGACCGTGTCATTAGGATCATGGAAAAAGCAACTAACGCAGAAATTGATGTAAAAAGACAAAGAAAAATCGAGAGTATTTCAATGCTCAATAGATTGCTCAATGCTGTTAGTGATGACTCAATAGATCCCACTAAAATATATCCTACCTTGAAAGTATTATTACAAAGAACTCATTTTATTTAATTTTGATTTTAATTTGAGATTAAATTATTAAATTTTAATTCTTTATTTTTTAGGATTGTTAGCTTTGTAAGATTGCTTTCTCACAAGAGAAAACAAGTATAAGGTTTAAGCTGTATGTATTAAAGTTATAAATATTTGATTTTAAAAAAAATCAAGATTTTAAACTTTAAAGGTATTAATTATGATTATCTTTCTTTAGCTTTACATGCTGTATGCTACTTTTGGAAACTGCTCTATTGTATTAGAATGTTTTTAAATTTTGCACCTAAAAATGCGTAATATTAAAAATTAAGGTATTAATTATGATTATCTTTCTTTAGCTTTACATGCTGTATGCTACTTTTGGAAACTGCTCTATTGTATTAGAATGTTTTTAAATTTTGCACCTAAAAATGCGTAATATTAAAAATTAAGGTATTAATTATGATTATCTTTCTTTAGCTTTACATGCTGTATGCTACTTTTGTCTTTGAGACATTCCATAATTTAAGTTAAGAAGCTTTAAAAAAAGCAAAAAAATGTAATAAAATAAAAAAATTTTTAGTATCGATAATCTGAAATATGTTGTTTACTTAAACCGCGAGCGAAGCGAGGGGCTTAGTTTCGTACAATCTTTTTTCGAATCTGTTCTTTTCGTCAGCCGCGAGCGAAGCGAGTGGCTTAGTTTCGTAATTTCATACAATCTTTTTTCGAATCTGTTATTTTTGTCAACCGCGAGCGAAGCGAGTGGCTTTTTATTTTTAAATTTTTTTTCTTCCTTACTTTTTTTCCCTTACTTACAAATTTGATAGTAACTTACCAAATCTCTCTATCATATAATAATAAATTAATCCATTTTTTGTTTCAAATCTAACACTTTACATTTCTGACATGTAAACATGTCACTTTTCACTTCACCTCACTGGGCAAGTTTGTGCCCCCCTCATTTGATTTTTATATAAAATAGTTATATATTAGAAAATAATATGAGTTTATGTGATATTATTTTTCAGAAGATTTTGTGTTCTTATTCAAAATTTTATTTTTTTATTAAAAAGAATCTTTACAAAATATACATTTACTTTAATTAATATTTAAAAACGTGCTCTATCAAAAGTCCAAAAATTCAATATTTTAGCTTTTCTGAGGTGTCACTTCTGATGAATTTCTGTTTACAACAGCATAAGTTCCTTAATTAATGAGCATACGATTCAGTCATTTTGTAAATGGATCTTTTCAATGAATATTGTTAAAGCTCAAAATTTTAATGGCATTATGATCATAACAATTGTTTCGAAAATATATTTTTATTCCGCAACAGTTTGAAATAGTTATCAAAAATCTCTCAACTAAAAATCATAAAGATTGAATTAAGGGATTAATACATTCCAATCTAAAAACAAGAATTTTGAAATATTTACAAAAATTCAATGCTTATTTCATTTTTTTTTTACATATATCTGAAATTCAAATGACAATTCTTAAACCTCGATCATCAAACATTCTTGTTACGGATTCTGATCCCTTGCCGCAGTCTATTTCTCCTTCATTAATTAATTTGAGACAAGAATTATCTCAGCAGCAAATAATATCAAAACCAAGGGGTGTCAAGACTAATATTCAATTTTACCAAGAGATGTCATATGAACAAGCTTGTTTTGGGCTCCTCAATATATTCACAAATAATTATGACAAAGCATGCAATGATATTAGCATAATTTCAGATTATTTATCAGTAAGAGACTTACGTACCTTAGTTCGAGTATTAAATTTATGTGAAATCTCAGATTTATTTAATCATAGAAAACCAGTTTTATGCCTCATGATTCAGAGTTTCTTAAATCAACCATTAATGAAAGACCTTTATACAGATGTAATTTTAACGAAGCCATCCCAACTCTATCCAGATAATACCTATACAATCGATAATTTCATTTATAACAAAAATGATGAACTCAATGTTTCCAAAAACATAGAATTAAATAGCAATACAAAAGATGAGTCATCAACCATTATTAAAGTACATCATTTCTCAAAAATTGACGGTAAATCGTCAAAAACTTTTAGTTCAAATCCGATTCCACAACATATTCAGTTTCAAAAATGTGAACTTTTGATCAAAAGTGCAGAATCTCCTTTTGTAATCGATCCGATAGATAATTTTACATATTCTAAGTCAGATGTAGAAAAATTGAAGCAAACAGTCACAACCTTATCAAATAGGCTTACCGAAATGGAACGAAATGTTTCTGCATTAGAAACCAAAATTTCAGAAATCGAAAACAAAATTTAGGATAAGCATGGGACATGGAAGCATATAATGCTTTAAAATTCAGTAAGGATTTTAATCCCATTGCTCTATTTCGATCACCACATATTTATTATTATTTTTTTATAATTTCTTTCAGAATTGTAACAATACGCAAGAATCAACAAAGATTACGATATACTCAATACTTCATTTTAGGGATATGGTTCAAATGGACTCAAGGAAGGTGAATTCCGAGTGTAAATGCAGTCCATTATTTACTTAATCATATCTTTTTATATATTTTTACATTGTTTTTAATCTAAATATCTTGTTTTTAAGTTTAACTGCTTATCATCTTCAATTTTTGAAATGAAACAGAGAAGTTATCAGAGTTTTGCATTAATTCACATGAAAGTTACATAAAGGAGATAAATAATTGAGATTGATTTCCATCTTCTGAGTGTTTTACAAAATTACTCTTTAAATAAAGCCTCTTTCTAAGTTAATGTTCATTTCAACCAAAACTTTATCTGACAAAAATTCTGATTTGCAAATTTGTCAGCTTTTTCGGATATTCAATTTTTATACATTCAATTTCTGTACATCCGAACTCTTGAGAATGCAACAGCCTGAACAAACCGAAAATCGGCCAGATCAAGCTCCCGAAACTCCAATCAATGCTCAAATTTCGGATAAAACAACATCAAAACCATCAAACAAAAAGAGAAATTTCACAACTGCGATGTCTCAAGAGCAAGTGAAAGAGGCCCTTGCTAGGATCTTCTCTTCGTATTACGAACGTGACAATCTCAATGAAGCAGCGATTTCGGATAATTTGTCTGTCAGAAAATTACGTGTCATTATTCACACACTAAGACTTTCCAACGTTGTAGAAACTAGCGTGAGGAAGCCATACTTGTGTGAATTATTGATAAAATTCTTGCAATCAGATTTAATGATCCTAAAGTACAAAAAATACAGTGAAGAGAAAGAAAGAAGTGCTAAAAGAAGAGCAGAGAAGAAATTAGAAATGGAGCATCAACGCGAAGCTCAGCAACCAAAAGAAAATCACACTGACACAAAAGCGAACGATTCAACGACTTCGATTCGTACAAGATCACACCAGCATACTGTAGAACCAGAAATGGAAAAACAGCAAGTGAATGAAAATGCTCAAGAGCAAAAAAGTATTGCCCCACAAAAAATTGAAACAGAAACTTCTATCCAGTTTACAACTGTGCCTCAAACACTAATGAATGCATCACATGCTATACTCGCACTACAAAAATTGAATAAAGTTATTTGGACGTTGTCCGATAAAATAACTGAGCTTGAAAAAGCAATCTCAATTCTTGTTGTACGTATATCGGAAGCTGAACAAATGTATGGGTTATAACTTTGTTTTTTTATATAAAATTGTTAGTTATTTGTTTTAATCGTATTTTCTTCATTTTCTTTTCAGCCTTTTCTTCAACACACTTGGATGTCTCGAATATCCATTTTATGCCAAAGATTACTCCGCTTTTACTATAATTTCCTTTAAATTGTTTAGATTTCGGTTTCACATTCATTTTATTCTCCATCACAACCAAAAATCCAATTAAACAAACGTCAAACTCATATGATAATAAACTTATTTATGAAATTAAAATAATTCAGATTCAATGTTCTGAATTTCACCTTATACTCTATAAAATATTAAACTATTCCAATAATATACTCTATATTTTATTGTTTGGGTGCGTTTTCTTCAATAAACTTTGCAGCATTTTCACAACATTCGACAAAATATTCTTTTGGATGTTTTAGACTCTTCTTTGTATCTGGATCCATCATGTCGTATCCCTGAACAATGCACCATGCTCTTGAGAAATTTGAATATGCAAATTTCAATTTTGAACTTCTTTTAAGCTGATCTACATGAGATGCAGTAAATGAAGCATTTTTGGCAATGGAAGGAGCTAAGATTCCATACTGTTTCTGGAATTCTTCAAATTTTTTAGCTTTATCTTTGGAATATTCAATAACATTATCAGTTCCGTATTTTGTAATTGCAGAAATACCAGCAAGAGCGGTAAGAACAATATCATGGCATGAATATCTCCAAAAATCTTCTGAAAGCATTTTTTCAAATGGAGCGATTTCATTACGGCATTCGTACGTGAATTTGGCAAAGTCAAATGATTTCTTTTGCTTTATTGCTTCTATACAGAGATCGTATTCTTCACATAAATTTCCATTTTCGCAAACTTCTTTGAGGCTTCTGTTAGGAAAATATGTTCCTTTGCAGCCAAAAGTCTGGGTATCAAATGCATTTTCGAAGTTAATTTTAATTCCGACTTCGGTCATTGAAGCGAAATCACAAATAAAATCGAAACATATTATTCTTATGTTATCTTGTGTTAAAAGAGCTGATAGACCATCGTAAACTTCTGGACAATTCGGTATTTTAACCATAAATCCTGGTTGTATATTTAAAGGAATTGGAGTTTCAACGTTTGGATCGAAAACATCATCTGCATAGCATTGAGCTATCTGAATTAATCCTAATGAGTTAGGAATAGCTCCTAGATTGAAGCCTTCGCAGTCTAAAGAAACACAAATTCGTTTTCCTTGGCACATTTCGCCAATCATTTTCTGTACCCATGTAAGGAATTCCTCGACATTCTGTGTTGCTGTTACAATTTTGTGATCAACTCCAGTTATGTCGCAGTGGATTGAATTCGGGTACATTTTTAAATGAAAAATGTGACATTTTTTGGATTTTCATCACTTAGCTTAGTGACTGCTAATGATGAGAAAGATCCATACAAATATTTTTGCATCATGATTCATCCCACTGCTTATATGTAGCTTTGAGGACAGAGTGTATGCATACAATTTCATTTTTTACTTTGCTTGTGTTAGAGAAGAAAAATAAGAGCTGAATTATCTATATATTATCGAAACATTACGATAAATCATTAATTTTTTTTGTTACAATCAAATTCGGAAAAAATTTTTTATCAAAAAGTTTTGTTTCATTCATGAGTCCCTCTGTTCACCTTAGACACTACTATTTACTTGAGATTTCATATCTATATTAGAATCTTTTCCTAAATTAAAACTTATATTATTTCTGTTTACATGAATTCTGCTCCTAAATGAAAGCCAAGAGCTTGAATTTAGTTACATGTTTCATATATCTTTTATACAATTAATGATTTGGAATTTTTTTAATAATTTATATATATGAATTGAATCTTGAGGGATGTGAATAAAGACTTTATTTTCTCTAGAATGCAAATCATATCAATGAGGTTTTCTAAGGATATTCCTTTAATTTAAAAATTCAGATTAAAATTTTTCTTTTTTCCGCAATTTAACTTAGCATATTAATATCTGTGATAGATGTATAATCATGTGGTATATGCCGTTTTACAAACATTGATGGGTCAAAAGTGTCACCTATCGGCACATCATAGTCTTGAATGAACTTTTTTTTACAAAATTTTTGCTAATGAGCAAAAGGGAATCAGTCCAGGAGCTCCTATCAAAGAATGTAGATCCTGACTCCGAACTCTTCTGGAAGACCTTCCAGCAGGCAATACTACGTTCAGACAATTCTCCTTTCGATAGAAGAGGAATCTTAAACTTGAAAATCCTATTTTCGAACGATCAACTGACACCAGCAAAGGTCGGAACCCTCGCGAAACTACTAATGTACTCAGGCCAAGGCCTTGGATCTACCTTCGCCCAAGATTTGGGTGAAATCTTCAACGAGATCTTCTTTTCAGAGAAGGATCCAACCTACAACGAAGCATTTGAGTACGCTTCAGCCCTTAGAAACCTTTGCGTTACCAATCCATCCATAAAACTACCCATTTTCGAAACAATTTTCGAAAATTTCACTCATTTCCTTTCCAACCAGCCGAATGTATCCAGTATTACCATCTCCCAGATATTCTTACTGGAAATTGCCTTGATTACCGGCAAGGAATGCGCCAAACAGAGTTTCACCCAAAAAGGAGATCCGCTCTGTATCACGGGAGCGATCAAGATCCTTGAATCTGTATCGGATTCGACAGTCCAGATCACTATCACCGAATGGATCTGGAGATCAATGAAGCTTGTCGATCCGAAACACAAAGTTTTTCCAAATGCGCTTGGAAAGTACTCCGGAATCTACGATATCACGAAGAACGACTTCAGAACATCCCTACATAACTTCATTACTACCCTTAACGATGAAGTTTCTTCGACTTCCCCATTACATATCCCATTCAAGTCGATGAGTGCCGGAAAGACCATTATCCACCGCAGCGGATGTTTCGATGTCAATATGGACAACATTGCCATCTTCTTCTACGAAAAACCGAAAGAATTACCTGATGTAATAATTTTCCGCACAAATTACATAACAACGGGTAATGTCAACAAGACATCGATGATTTTCGAATCACGCGAGAAAGTTTCCGGATTCCAAGGTGTCGGCGAATCATCTCCCACGAAATTCTCCATCTCATTCGAGACGAAACCAACACAAGAAGTCACGAAAGAGTATCTCAGGAGAATAAAGAACAACAAGATGACGAGAACATCCGAAGACATCCAAACTCCACAGAGATCTCGTGTCAATGCTGATAAAGAGAAACCAGACACGAGAGGTATCAAATTACCAATGAAATCACCAGGATCAAAGGAGAAGAAACAGAATGAAATGGCATTGATCGAAGCACAACTCAAAGAATATCATGATTCTTCGATCAGAGCAATCGAAACTGATTTCAACACTTCTGTTTCTGCTTTGAACGACATCACTGAGAAATTGACTGGAATCGAATCTTCTCTCAACCAGTTGCTCTCTCAACACGAAGACATCACAAAGGCAACAACGAAATCTAACGAAGACTTGAGTAAAAACATCACACAACTCAGGAATGATTTCGAAAAGAATCATGCAGATGCAATGAAGAAGAGAGAGAGCTTGAAGAAGATGGCGATCGAAGCAATCAACAACGAGAACTCAAAGATCGTTAACACGACAGCGGAAGGATTCCAATACAACGCAATTGTTGGACTTGCTGCTGCATTAGATTCTGTTCAATCTCTAATCGTTTAATTTTATCACTTTTTTTTACAATTTCTTTTAAACAATTAACATTATTACAATACATTACCATTCACATGTAGATTGAAATATCACAATTTAAATATCTTACTTTTTAAATATAATTTCTGAATTAAAAAATTTACTTATTTTCTTTAAACTACTCTTACAAAATATTCTTATTCACATACAGATTGAAATATAGGAGAAAATTTGTGTTTGAGATTTACAAAATAAATAAAGAAATTTGGTTATTCTATATACTTGAAATCATTTTCCTTGCATGTAAATTACAAGAAATGTTATAACATTCTTGATTTATAAACTTATTATAATTTTGTTTCGTGATATTTATAATTGTTGGAACAATATAACTATTTGATGCGCGTTGTTGTATTTAGATAGGAATATATTACCTCTATTAGATCGCTGGTGGGCGTATTACTACATTTCATATTTAATCGAAGGGTTGTCATTTAATAAATTCTTTAACATTGCTAGTGTTCATCTTTTTCCTATCTCTCAATTATGCTTTCAACAATTTTATAACGAAATCATTTTATTTTAGTAGTAGGATAGGATGGGATTTGTGACTTTTTTTGTAAACGTAAGAATTCATACAATATCGAGCGATTTTGTATCATTTTTTAACATATTAATTTTAAAATAATTTATTTTTTTATTCTTACATAAATGACCCAACAAGTAAAACCAGATAAAATAGATTATCGAATTTTAGAGGATGGTGTTCCTGTTTATATTCAAAGATTTAAAGGGAAGCAATATTATAGAATTGTTTAAATCCTGAATGGGTTAAACTTCAATTTAAAAAGGAAGACTGTGAATTATTAAATGAATATGAAAGCCAAAATAAGCTAATGAGATATAAATATAATGATAAAGAATATTTAATTTCATGGAATCAATGGAGTCATAAACTTTAAAAAGAATTTGATGAGTTCAACATAGAACTTTAAGAAACTAATGATTATTTGAATTTATGAAATCAATTATTTGATTCATTCTTTCTTCAATCTCTTCTATTCTTTTTGTTAAATCATCTATTTTCATTAATGAGGTGATTCTTGATTGAGGAATAGATTTCAAACTAACCACTCCTTTTATTTTTGAAATTTTGAATCCATCAACTTTAAACATTTTATTCAATTTACACGTTGTCAATTCTTCAAATAATTTTTTATTATTAGCATAATAGTCATTAAATTCTTCAACAGATGAAAAAATTTTTATTTCAGTAATTGGTTTAACAACGTTTATTTTTTGTTGAACATTTCCACTTTCATTTATTTCTTCCTCCTCTGTTTCATTTATTTTTAAAATCGGTTTCATTTATCATTAAATAAAAATTAGAATATAAGTGATGAAATATATTTTTTAATTAATATTAAATCAACTATGGCTGCAGGATTCTTTAAAAAATTATGGGATGGAATTAAGAAAGCTGCGGGTTGGGTTCATAAAAAGATTATTAAACCCATTGCAAACTTTTTGGCACCAGTAGCGAAAACGGCAGGAACTATCATAGGTGGAGTATTAGGTACTAAAGCAGGTAATCCCGCGATGGGAGCACAAGCAGGTAACGCAATTGGTGGAATAGCTGAAGGAATACTTAATAAAATAGGAGGTAGATAGTGGAAAAATAAATAAATATTATTTTTATCTTAGTATCGGTTGTAGTCTTTGATAAACTTTTTCTCCTTTATTTAATATTTCTCTTATTGGGGCGGCTTTTGGTGTTATTGATTCAGCAACGTCACTAATTGCTTCTTTATTCTTAAATATCCAATTTGCTCCCTTCTTCAATGTTTCCCAAACTTTATGCGCTCCTCTTTTTACTTTATCCCACAGTTTCTTAAATATACCTGCAGCCATAGTTGATTATTTCATTAAAATTAAAAATTCATTTTCATCTTTTAATTTTGATTTTTTATTTATTAATAAATGACGACTAACTATTTAGTGCCAAACACCAAACCGATTAATGGAAATGTGTTTCATTCATTCGAAAAGATAAATGAAATATTCGCAAAGAATGACGGTAGAAGATATTATAGAGAACTTGAAAGTTCATGCTATGACTCTGATGCTCCATATTTTGATGATAAACAAACTCATTTAAGAATTACAAATCCGGCTCATGATGTGAACCAATTAGGTGACACATATATTAAACGCAAAGTTAAAGCAACTCTAGTTTCAAATAAAGCTTTCACATGTGATGCCGCTTTTAAATGCATGCGTTTATTCGTTGGTTACAAATCATCAAATCAAAGCTTTAAACAATTAGAAGTAGAAACCGAAAGAGGTGATGCCGGTTATCTTCAGATGGATTGCGCCCGTGAATCTTTCGCATTTGCAACATATAAACCAAAATCAGAAAGGAAAGTTAAAAAGTTTGTTCATTCGTTATATAATAATGTTCAAAAATATGATAACTCAGTATGTGGTAAATATATTGACCCCTCAGAAGTTTTCAAGAACGCAAATGAAGAAGTTGATATCACTTTTGATATGATTATTCCGGTAAATGATTTGTTAGCATTTCAGGCGTTCGATGATTATCCTAAATCATTTGGTGATATCATTCTTAAATATTATGTTTTCAGGGATACTTTAGTATTTTGTCAGGTTGACCCGTTAAGAGTTGCTGATTTACAAAATTACGTTTATGAAAAGATAACTGATGAAAATTATGAAAAGATTATGAATCATGTTTATAAATATGATCGCAAATTCCAACAAATCGGACTTCCTACCAAATTAATTACAAGCTTAGCCGCTACATCTGCTGACGCAACAGTTGATGACGTTATTATTTCATGCACAAAGATGGAAGTTTTAGAGGATAAATGTATTACACCAGGATACGGTTTAATTGAAGAATCAGTTAAAGCAATACCACGTTTATTCAGTAAGGAAGATCCATTCATGATTCCAGCTCAACATATTGACGTTCGTTCACTAAATGGAGGTTGCATCACTCCTGAAGGTATTAGCTCAGATTTCTCATACGCTCTTCATAATGTTACAGATGTTGTGTTAACATTTCCGAAGAATGCAATGCAAAGAACAGTTTTAGAAAATCCAATGCTTCGAGGTCTTCAGGTCACTATAGATTCCAGAAACTTCCCCGATCAAGCGATGTCCACAGTGGGCGACATATTCTTTACACGTATGCTTCAAGCTTCTGATTTAGATGGAGTGAATGAATGCACAGAAGAATACGAGGACTCATTAACTAGACCACTGAATGCAGATAATGGCACACCATTAGCTAGAACATGGAAAGACCAAACTTCATTCTTATGCACTATTCCAGTTCAACGTGATGGAGCGGGTATATTCTTTGATGGATTAGAAACTTTCAACTCACAAGTTACAGTACAAGTGAAAGCTTATCCAATCATTCAGGGTGTAAATGACACTTACTGTTCAAAGGTGACAAATCCTCCTCAGGTTTGGTTTACTAGGACTACATATTGGACATGGCCACCGGATGAAGGTTTGAAATATCATCCAACAGGTACACCACCACAGTATAGAAGTTCATATGATGAAATATTGATGAATAGAAATGTTTAAAATTATAAATTTATTTTTGATTAAATGGATTTAAATTCATACACTCCTTATGAAGAATTAGCAGGAGTATATAATACATACATAGATGATATGATTAATGAAGCATTGAGTGATAATAGAAATGCTCTATCTAAGGAAAAATTAATGAAAATTCCATATTCTGAATGTTACTTAAATTCAATCACTGCAGCAATTGGTAAACAGAATAAAGGTAAAACATTAACGATATTAAAACAAATTATCATTATTGCTAACACTTCCCCCTATTCACACGTGTTAATTTATATCAACCGTTCAGGTTCACCTTCAGATGATACATTTGAATCTTTAAAGCATTTAATCAAAATTCCAATTATTTATTTATCACAAGAAGAAGCAGAAGATTATTTAAAAAACTTTTTAATGTATAAAGAATTATATAATACAATCAAGAAGCAAGGATTAGAGGATAAAATTATTGATAAACAACGGGATGAATTATTTGAAACACTTTCTATTTCAAATTTTGATAGAGAATTTTTGCATTCACTCATTTTTCTAGATGATGCAGTGAAATCAAAACTAATAACAAATGAGAAATCATATTTTAATCAGTTATTAACTCAATGTCGACACATTCAGTGTTCATTCTTTATGGCTGTTCAATATTTCAAAGCATTAAGCACAAACATTAAATCAAATCTATCAACACTTTTCATTTTCAGTGGGTTTAGTCGTCAACAGTTGAACGTTATGCTTTATCAAGTGAATTTACCAATGAGCATTAATGAACTTTACACACAATATCAGCAATTAGGTGAACATGGAAAAATAATAGTTGATTTAAATAAAGGAAGTGTTAAATTTGATTAACTTTTTATAATTAATTTTTATTTTTTATTTATAATTAAACATGACAGAAATGGCAAATCTTCTACAGGTTCCATTAAAACAAGGAACAAACAAAAGGGGTGCATATAATAGAACTATGAAAGTTCCTGATGGAATGAAAGAATTAGTTCATATTGTTGCTGGTCTTCAAAAAGATGTTAAACAAATGAGAAACGTTTTAACATTACCAGAAGCTCAAGCATATGCCAAACGTCATGGTCCAAATTGGGAAGCACACGAAGCAGACATTACGGGTCCAAATGGAAAACCTGATGGTATAAATGAAGTTTTCGTTACTGATGGTCAAGGTAATATTAAAGTCATAAATGGTTATAAATTAACTATATCTGATTATCCTAAACGTAAAACATATAATGAACGTTATCCTATGCAATTTGATGAAAATGGAAAAGCTGTTAAACAATACATTGGAGAAGGTGAAAATGGTCCAATTAATTCATACCGTGGTAATCCATATTCTTATTTCAATGAAGAATTAAATGCTATTGAAGAAGGACCAAACGGATTACCTCAATATGTTAATCAGTTTGATGGTCAATATGCAAATATTAGACCTGAAATTTCAGCTAAGAAATTCTTTAAAGTTGCTTTATTCGATCCAGTTTTCGCAAATGTTAAAGATGAACTTAAACAGCAATTCCAACCAATTATAGTAGCAAGAATTGCATCAGGTGCTTTATCTCAAGCATTCAAAGATTTAATTAAGAAACCATTATATCAGCAACGGGGTTTAACTTATGATTTAGTTAAGGAATCAGATAAAAGAAAATTTGAGAAATCAGATGATTATAAGAATGCAATTAATGAATATATTAAGTCTATTAATTACGATGAAACAGCTAAAAATCAACTTCATGAACAAATACAGGGAATAATAGATTCAAAAGTTCCAGCAAAATAAAAGTTTAAATATATTTTTTTATTCGAATATAAATGAGAAGACGTTTCACTAGTCAAAAGAACACTAACGCAAAAGCAGAGATTACGGTTGGTTATAACGTAAATGATGATAAATCACGAATTATTCAAAATGTTAAAGTTAATGTTAGCCCCGAATTAACAAGGTCAGCAACTCAACCAAATTTATTAACTCGTGACTTACCGAAGAATGAGGAGAATGAAGAAAACCATGAGAATGGAGACCCAATCATTTTATCTGAACCCGGTAAAGAACCCGTTGAAATTCCCACTTATCCAACATACCCCCCGCCTCTTTCATCAAACATCGAGAAACCATATAAAATAGACATTAATTCAGAATTAATGAAAATTTACCGTGATATAATAATTAATAATTATGATTCAATAATAAATTTAATTGACCAATCTGGTTTAATTATTTTACCTTATGAATCATTAATTCACATTATCGCCATTCTTTGTGATGTTCAAGATTCAGACGTTAAGATTCAATTTTTCATAGATGATGAGGTTTCATGCTGCGGAACAGTTGCAAAAATAAATCCTATAAAGGATATTAGCACAATTAAGATATCAAAGAATGGAACAACAACTGAACTTCATTTAACATATAATGATATTTATAATAAAATAGTTGATGAATATAAAATATCACTTGAAAAATTCTTTGTTAAGGCTATTTAATATTCAAGCATTAACATTATCGAATAATAATCCTTTGAATCATAATCAATAATAATTGACCTTTCACCAGTTTCTATCGTTTGTTTTATTTCTTTTTGTTCCCCACTATCCGGATCGGTCATTGTAATTGTTTTTGTTATAGTATCAGCTTTATCTTTAACTTCAATCTTTTTTCCATCAGGATATTTAAACCAAAATTCCAAAAATTCGATATTGTCAATCTGTTCATATTTTAATCTATCAATTACATTTTTAATACCATCCGAAAATCTTATGAAATGGTCATTATATGAGTTTGATTGAACTAAATTTGAATGAAGTGAAATATAACCCGTTGATGAATATGACACTGGCTCATATTTTCTGAAAACACTAAAATTTATAACATGAATGAATTTCTTATTCGTTGAATTTATGAATTCTTGAGGTAATCTTATTCTAGTTTTATTTATCACTGGAAAATAACGCTTTACCATATTTTTAATCGTAATAAAAATGTCAATTATCAATATTATTTCGAATAATAACTGTGAATTAAATTTAACAGTTAGCGGAATTTATAATGTTACTCTCGTTTCTGTGAGTGGTAAATTTAATCCCATTCTTTTAGACCCTTCAGATTATATATCATTTATTAAAGATGACCATGAAAAAACGTATGATATGTATATAAATAATGTGATAGCGAAATGGGATATTAACATGATTTTAAGTTATTTAAATGAATCATTTATCGTATGGTATGAAGAAACTTTTAAATCAAAACCTGATAAACTTTTTGAACTTGATGAAATAAATAACCTTATTAAATTTCCGCTGAAAATTAAATTTTGTACTCCTCATCTTCGTTCATTGTTGGGGATATTAAATTTTGAAAAAGATGTTGGGGATGTTTTGTATTCTGACACTGGTTCCAATTTCATTTTAATCAAATGTGATAAAGTTAATACCCAATGAGATTTTCACATCAAACATTAGACCCTAACTCTTACCCATCAATACAAAACATTTTATCCATCAACTTAAACACATTTTCTTTATCATATCCGTTTCAATTATCCGGGAATTCATTTATTCTTCATTCAAAGATTTATCAAATATTAAATTTAGAATAACTGACCTATTTGATTGTGATTTAGAATTCATGAATGAGATATTATGGCAATTTCAAATAGAAAAAATAGCTGATGAGATAACGGATTAAATATTTATTTTTAAATCATAATAAATGATTAAACAACAGCAACTTAAGGCGCAAAGCACCCAGGTCCTTCAGACCATTACATACGCCACAT